CTTTCCTCGTCTTAGCCTTGCCTGGTAGCTGCAATTTCCAAGTTACTGTATTTGATATCTGTGCTAACAGAGCTAACAAATTTATGTTGGGGGTTGAAATTTCCTTGAACTAGATTCTTCATTCATCACAAGAATTTTTTTTACATTTCATGCCCTGTTTTTGGGAAGTACTTTGAAAAGGCTACCAACATGAATGTTTGGACATAGGCTATAGAGAAGAAATAATAGTGCAGTTGTTTCTTAAACCAGAGACTATTGATGTAGGTCTGTGTGTGAAGCTTTCATATTGGAACTGAGCTGTTTTGCTTGCTGCAGTTTCTCATACGGTATCCAACACCCTTTAAACCCTAGTTTAAATGGCAAGGTGATTTTTTTTTCTGAAAAAAAACAGTATCTACACCTTTAATATTAAAAATTCATTTGAAAAATTCATTTGCAAACTGTGCCATTGAAATCTAGCTTGCAACCCTGTTCTTAAAAAGGGAGGGAGAGCTGTGGGGGTTGCGTATTGAATCCATGGTGGCTGATTTTCCCCTTGCTGTTAGGTACTGGCTTGCCTGTACGTGGCTCGCGGCGCGACGGCCTTTCCGCCTGCAGGGCCGCTGGGTGGGTGGGGAGCAGCCGACGGGCCGTGATCCTGGTCTTTGTCCCTCCATGTGGGATCACGGCCACCTGCGGCCTCTCCATCTGCCTYCTGGAGGCCCTGGCCGCCTCTTGTGCCTGGGAGAGGGAGGCACGAGCCCGGAGCAGTCGCTGCCAGGTTGGGTTGGAGTGTTGGCTCATCACAAGTCGTGCCCCAGAACTGTGGTTTCCAGGCCCTGGTGATGACAGTCGCTTAAAACTCGCAGCTGTTCCCAGCGTGTGTTCCCGCAGGCCTGTCACGAATGTGCCAAGCCGGGGCGGTCCGGAAGCCTCTGCCCCACGTTCGCCCAGGCTGCTTCGAAAACCTAACCTCTTTAGTGCAGGAGAAAGTAGCACGTTGACCTTAAAACATGTAACAACTTGCTAGTCTGATCGAGAAGCAGGGCAAATAATAGATTTGCTTTTGTGTTTAACTGGAAGGCAAAATGGAAGGCAAACTGGAAGGCAATTTCAGAAGCGCTTGTGCACGTGGCTCCAGTCAGCATAGTGCCAGGCCAAACCTATTAGTGTCTCAAGAGCTGAGGCTTTATTTTTGTAGCAAGCGCTTTATCTTTGGGAGCACAGAAATGGCCCTTGCGGAGCGAAGGCAGTTTGGGCAGAGCCTGCCGGGGTCGCCGCTTGCGAGAGGACCGGCCGAGCCGGCGGTAACCGCAGSCGGGCGGCGGCGCCGCGCCGGCCCCGTTGGCCTCGGCGGGTGGCACTCGGCACGGAAAGGAGCTGCCATCCTGTTTTCAGGGGTTGCTGAGAGCTCGGAGGGAGTCCGAGGAGCCTGGCCTACGCTTCTGGGGTGTAAATGAGGGAAAAATCAGCCTCTCGTGACAGGGATAAAGGAGCGCCGTTGACGTTGCCGTAGTTAGAGGCTTTGGGCAGGGAATTTTCGTGAAAAGCCAGTTCCCCCCTGCTGTCATCTCAGCRGTAAGTCCGAGCATTAAAATTCTTGGAGATCTGCATGGGCTTGACTGTTACTCCCTTGGCCTCGTGTTTTTCTCAGCTTTTTTCTGTACTCAGGGAACTGCCTGCACCGTGGCCTTGCACATTGGACTCTGTGCCTTCATGCAATGTTATCTGACCTAAAGAAAAGGTCAAGCTCTATGCTAGTGTCTATGCTAGTTTGTCCTTGACTTGGCAGGTCTCAAAAGAGAGTAAATTTGCTGAGGAGCAAATCCAGCCCCTGGGGTTGGCTCTGGCTGGTCAGTGCAGGGATGAGGGCCTAGGGACACTGGTGGCTGCTGGTCACGGCCATCACTTCCCCCTTTGTGGCCTGCACAAAGCTCTTCTGTGCATGAAGATGGTGCTGGGTACTTTAAGGTGAAGGATGTACTTGATTTGCATACATTTATCTGTTTGTGTTTGGCTTTGAAACACGTTTTATGGTCCCTCTGCTTCCTGCAGACTTTTTTATTCTTTTTTACTGCCTAACAACCTTCTCTGTAAACCAAGAGATAAAGTGTATTTCGTGTGGATGTTTGTTTGCCTGCATTTAGACACTGTGCTTTCTATCACCCTCGAGCAAAAGTACTGCTGGTTTGCAAGCAAGGAGAAAGGAGGTCAGCAATTTGGCACTGTTGACTTTACATTACAAAGCAGCGTCCTTCATTTGCTCTTGTTTTATCTTTCCAATAGTGTTATCAGGCTCACGTGTTCATCGAGCAGGCTAGAAAGCCACTAAGTGGGATCCATTAGAGAATTGGAGATTCTCCCTCCTCCAGCTCCCCCATTCCTCACTGATCAAATCACAGCATTGATYACTAGAAATAGGGGCCTTAGGGAAACAAAATCACCGCATTAGCAACTGGCCAGAGGTTTATCGTGTGACTCGTTCAGGCTGGCTAACTGTGTGCCTGGGCAGCGTCTCGGGTGTGTTAAATGCCTGGGCTCAGTTGCTTTCTCTCCCCTCTCATGCTTTTCTCCCCCATCCTTTTTCTTCTTCCACCTCCTCTCCCCCTAATCCTGAATCCCCCTTGGGATTCAATGGATGGAGAGCGATGTTGCTTTGCCTGTTGGCCTTCCTGCCCAAAGGAAGACTGGACTGGTGCTTAGTAGCTCTGGACTCACCCAGTGTGGAGAGGAGGCTGCTGATTTACATGTAATCTATTGAAATCTGARTTTCCACATGGCACTTGAGAGTGAAATAAATGGATAACGGATCATTTCTACTTTGAAACATATTCACACTGCCAGGATACTACCCAAAGACCACAGTTTTAGCCTTGATGGACAGAAGTTTAGTAAAAGCTTTGGTGCACAAAACCCGTTGGTGATTAGGTTGCTACTGGTTTGCTCTGTTGTGATGGTATCTGTGGTTTGTTGGCATTCAACCTTTCAGCCCTCATAAAAGGAAGATTGCACTTTATCCTCTGTTTGCTTATGTGAAGSTGTAAGATTCACCTTTTCATTGCACCTCAAAAAATGATGGTTTTTACAATGCATTTATGAGGCATTACGTTTATCAAACCTGCTTTTTAATTCTGGCCTCCTGTTAAAGTGGGCAAGTTTTGAAGGGATGGCGAGCGGCCACATGTATCAACCTTGGTCACTTCTCCTGCTGGCGCTTTTTCTGCATGCAGGGCAAGTTGTACGTTCATTTTTCATTAGGGTGGTGTCAGGTTGCCATAGCCACAATCAGCCATGATTATTAGTGCTGGGGACTAAGTTAAAAGGAGCTTGCTAATGATTATCTCTATTTTATAGCACTGGGGGAATGCAGTAACCACGGGAACTGTGGAGCGCGTGGCTGTTTTGGAAAATACACGTCGCTGTCAGGCCTTCTGATGGACACTTTATTGGATGGCTTACGTGCTTCATGTGTTTGGCATCAGCATAAAAACAAATTTCTAAATTTGTTGTTGCGAGTAGCCTTTTGGAGGCTACGCTTTAAATGCAAATCTCTTTCTGAGAAGCTTTTATGGAAAATATACCTGAATACACAGTTTGTYTAATGCAGCTCATGTTCTCTGCAGGCTAACACAATGTTTTGTCCTGTGGAAACCTTATCAGTGTTAACTCACCAAAAGTAGCCTGTATAGGCTGTAGTTTGCAGATGCATTTTAGTGTTGCTTGAACAATGATACAGCTTTGCGCTTTCTGTATTGCTGCGTAGTTTTGATCCAGGTGCTACTTTGAAGTGTAAACTTTGAGCTGTTCCTGCTTGCAGGCTTAATGATGTGGACAAATGTAACTTTTGAACACTCGTCAGTGTATTTTTTGGAATACCTTGGAATACTGATGTCACTAAATGCCTTAAATGTATTCAAGATTTRATCCCCAGAAGTAGAGCTAAAGAAATAAGAAAATAAACAAAAGCAGAAGCTCCCCTTTTGCTGTAGTTTGATGTATTCGTTGCACCCTTGTTCTTTTTTCTTATCCTTTAAAAGCTAGTTAGGTGTTACACGCACAGGAAAGGCATAGGGGAGCGACATGAGCAAGTGCTTGACCCGGCGCTGTGTGTAGCCAGTGTCCTAGTGGGATAAATCCCCCAGGAGAAGGGAAGAGCTCTACAGCCGCCCAGGCTCAACATAATCACCTCACCTGGCTGTGTTAGCAGGCCCTTTTTTCAGAACGACGGGGTTTAAGACATAAGTGCAGAKGAAAACAAAAGGAATACGTAAGGCTGGAGCAGAAGGCGCTGCCGTTTCCTCAGCCTGGCGGTGGTTTTGAGGGGAAAAGGAAGCAAAGCCTCCGTGGTGCAGACGTCTAACCAAGCTATTGTGGCTGCTTAGGTGAACAACAGTGGGAGCTTAACCTTGGCATGTTTGCTTAGCCCAGCACAGCTCATCTCACCCAGCCTTATTTGAGCCTCTGTAATGACTAGTCCTTGTATAATGACTAAACACCTTGGTATGTTCTGGGTAACTGCAATATAAGAATCATTTATTACCTTATGTGCGTTTTATATTGTCTATGATTTCTCATGTAGTAGGTYCCAGTTCTTATCAAAGTGAGGGAGTGCCTGTCTTTATGGTGAGCTCTGCTACTGACAGTATTGCGGCTGCTTACTCAGAATAATTCTGCTGCACATCATACACCAAGTGACATGATAAAATCCTAATCATATATTTAAGAGTATCTGTTTTCATGTATTGCTTGAGCTATAGATATTAAGATTTTAATAGATTATTCTGTCACTGATAAAGGAAAATACCTGCTACAGAAGAGTATTCTTAGTATTCTTCTCAGGTTAAACCTGAAACTTTGGTATATTTTTTGTTTTCATTCGGATTTTGATATATTTACCCAAAAGCTTAAATAGTTTTGAGATAAAAATGATGATTTACTCCTACCTGATCTTCCTTTTAAAGGATACTTTTTCCCTAATTGTAATGCCAATATGATTAATGTTTTGTTCTGTCTTCCCACAGTTTTATGTGCTGAAAGAGTGGGCCAGATGACTAAAACATACAATGACATAGATGCTGTTACACGTCTTCTTGAAGAGGCAAGTATTACATTTCTTTAAGAATCCATTCTAAGTATGAGAAAGTAGCACATAAGTTGTATGGTACCACTACTGAAGTCTGCTGGCAGGCTACTTTCAGAGGAGGAAGAGGAAGTGCTCTTAGTGTAAGTCACATAATCTCCCTGCTAAAGGAAATAATCTTTCTGAGTAACTTGTTTATTGTTGCATGAATTCAATCTTTGTGCCTCTTTTCCACTTGAGGCCAGTTTCACTTATTCTTAGCCAAATATTAGTTCTAATGAGTTGAGGGAGGGAGGGAGAGGAAATGATCTGAAAATATAATATGTATTTTTACAGTACATATAAAGTTAAAAGTATTAGAGTTGAGGGATTATTGTCTTTTAGAATTTAAAAAAAAAAGCCTTTCAGAAGCAGTCTTGTCACTATCCCAGCATCTTTTCACAGAAATGCAGAGGCACAAAAATCAAAATTTTCTTATATTCTGTTTCCTAATTTTTCTTCTTTGTTGTAGTATTTTTATTTTTAATATATCACAACTGCAATCGCTGCTACAATAGCGTTGCTTCATGGCTGAGTAGAACTTCAGCCTTCATGGGTTATTTACTTGTGACAGCAGTGTCAAAAATGGGGTAATTGCTAACCAGGATATATTTGATGATCTGTTCTCCTAATTCTGCAAGGGGATCGGCATGGGAATGCTTGAATCCCCCATCTGCCATAGGGAAATCTGATCTGGGCACAAAGTTCTGTGTTTTGTGCTTGGAGCTGAACTCTTTCAGAACAACTTTCTATGAGACAGCAGTTAAAGGTGGTACTTTACCTAACAGGCCTGTTTGGGAGCAATGCATTAACTTGTAATAACCGCCTGTTACCTGTTTGTGTTCTGCTCCCTTGCTTGTCCTCTTTGGCTGAGCTTGGTTTGCATTTGTTTGCCTGGCTCCTTCTAGTAATAATGGAGCAATTTGCATCTTGCCCAAACTGTTTCCTTCTTTGAGTGCACACAGGCMAATGTTACACTCAGGGGAGGGATGCTAGAGGGATACCCAGAGCCAGTATTTTAAACATGTGTGGTGTTCTTCCCTGTCTGGATAATAGCAAGGAGAAGAGGGGGTACCTTTAATAAAATCCGTATTTTCCAGTGACGTTTTCAGTTGTGTTTGGCTATCACTTCAGATTTAATCAGTGAGGGAGAGTGGGTAGGTGAGGATTTATTTTTTATTTTTTGATTATTTACTTAACACATTGAGGATATACRTAGCCCAAGGAAGCCCAAGGACTTGCACTTTAAATGTAGTGGACTCTCTTTCTGCTACTGTCCAGCATACTGTATTTTATTTGCAGATGGACTAAGTGGAAAGTGAAAAATGCTTTGGATTATGGGTTTTGGCTTGGCTGTGGGTTTTGATATTACGCTGTGTTTCTGAAATCCTTCAAATGTAACCTGTAATGCTCTGTGACTCCATTCTACAAATGGTGTAATGAGAGGATAAAATAATTTCCCTTAGTATTTTCTTAGAGCTGTAATAAAGCAAATGAGTTCGGGTTTCATTTCACAGAATCACAGAATGGTTGAGGTTGGAAGGGAGCTCTAGAGATCATCTGTTTCACCCCCCCTGCTCAAGCAGGGATTTTATGTCATTTTATGTTAGACCTTGAGGCTGTGCTTTCATGTGCATGATTCAATAACTCTGTGAGTCAATTTTCTTTCGCAGTAATGTGAGTAAAACATAAGCAGGAATAGAACAAGAAAATGGGGGGGGGGGTAGAATCTACCCCACACAATGAAAAATAATTTTTAAGCATATGTTTTTTTTTCCTTCCCTTTCATCACAAATTTACTCTCCCTGTCTCACCCATCCACGAGTAAACCATTTGAAACCAGCTCTCTTTTCTTGGCRTTTCACAGAAAGAGCGGGACTTAGAATTAGCTGCTCGGATCGGCCAGTCGCTATTGAAGAAGAACAAGTCGCTGACGGAAAGAAACGAGTTTCTGGAGGAGCAAGTAGAACACATCAGGGAGGAGGTRAGCTGCTGCGCCCGAGTGCTGTGCTGGTGCAGGGAATGTTTSCTTCCAGCTTCACCTTGTCTGTAGTTATTTTTCCTGTGCTTCCTGTCCAAAGCAGGTCAGTGTCAGTTGTAGCAAGTTGGGCGACTTTTTATATAGCAATGTATGTTTTTTCAAAATGTGACCTAGAGAGTCACTTGACTTTTTGTCTCAAATCAGGAGAGAAGAAGAAAATTCCAAGCCACTGAATCAGGCTTAGGAACCTGATTGTCTTCAGTTTCAGAGCGGTGCTGTTGCTTGCTCTCCATATCACAACACGTGAGAGCCAGCCTTAGCTGTGCACTGGTCAGCAGGGCATTAACTAGAGACACACACACCAGGACTCCAGGCAGGGCAGGGCGCTCATTCCAGGCCTGCAGAACAGCAGAGTTGTTTGAGGAAGGTGTGGGGCAGGAATGGGCCTTCTCTGCCAGGTCTATTTTTACTCAGAGGGCCTTGGGAGCGAGGTTAGGGAAGGGGGCACCAGAGCAGGCTTCGCACCAGGTGGCTTGATGTGCTGGGCCATATGTTCCCTCAGCACCAGTCGCTCACACCGTCGCTTGGACTCCTTGCGAAGCTGATGCTTTTGAGGCACTGAGATCATCAAGCCTTAGAGCCATGGCACTTTCCTACGCAGAAACCATTTCTTTAGTAGGCTACAGCTCTTCCGTTAAAGCTGAATTTTGAATTTTTGAACAGAATGGTAATTAAGAATAGCTCTCCAGGCAGGATATCAGAGAAAAGAATTGGGGCTTCTAAGATTGTGTGTGAAAACTCTCTAAGCTGTATGTTTTGTTGGGGGGTGAGGAGAGTTAGATTGGTTTCTGTAATGCATAGATACACTCTGATTTGTTTTACAAATCTTGGTCTTGGCAAACTTTCTTGACAAAACTTTTGTGCTGTCTGATAAAGTTGCTCAGTTTTTTCCTGTATCCTTGTAACTTACTGTGTTCATTGGTACCTGTAAAATGCACTATAGACTGAAGCAAAATGCTCGGGCTTGTATTTTAGATTTGTGTTGGCAAGTGCTGCTTAGCTTTAGGAAGGCACTGTGATCATATTCCCTTTAAAATCGAGTGAAGCTGCTTGCATTGCAGCCTCTTGATCTTGTTTTTTTTCCTTTGCCCTTCACCATTGAGTCCCAGTGCCTCCTTCACACATATCAGCCTGTTCTGGGGTGTCTGCACCCTTGTCAACTTCACTTTTCCTTAGGTCTCAGGGATAAAGCTTTTTCTTTCCCTTTCTCAACAAGTTTTTACTAATTTCTAATCTGTGCACCCTTTGCCACTAATACTAGATGGTAAAAACAGAGAGCCAGTTCTCCTGTAAGTCCTTCAGAGTGAATGGTGAGTGCTCTACGTGTGTCCCCACAGTGGGGTAAATGAACTCTGTGTTCATTTATTACTGCTTGGACTTGGTTCTTTAACAGATCTAATTTCCACAGAAGTAACCTTAGTAAACACGAGCACTTTGTTTGCTTAGAATTATGTACAGTGTACGTGCCTTGTTGCATTGAGGCTGGCTTTTGTTTGATTGAAAATACAGCTTAAATCTATTTCACTGACTTCACCCCTTTGCCAAGATAACTGGGAATATAAATATGTTAACAATACAGAAGGTGAAAGTCTGCTAAAAGGAATGTGCTTTGGAAAGGGAAAACACAGGACCTGGTCTTGCAGTGTAAGTGGAAGGAAATGGACCTGTCTGCTCTGYTTTGTTACTTATACATTTGCAATGCAGAATGAATCTCCTGCCACTGAAAACTGAAATTGCTGCTCTRAAGTGGCATAAATACTAATGCATAATGCATAATTTGGCCTTTTGTACTTTTCTTGGAGAGCCACAGTATGAACCAAGGTTATATTTTTGAAGGTGGCAATTACGGATTATTTCAATTCCCTGATTCTAATGGCTTTTATTCACTTTGGTATAGGTRTATGTTATGTATTGGGCTCACACATACTGTTTTCTTTACTGGATTCGAGTTATGGAGTCATCAAAGCCCTGAGCTTGACTGAGAAACCAATTGGAGCCTTAACAGTTGCAGCCACCATCCTGCACGTCTGTGGTGGTGTTCTGCACCTGCAGATCATCTGCCAAGAGCRTCCCAAATGTCACCTTGCCATGCACGTGTTACAGCAATGTTTTAAGAGTCTTTTGAAATGGGAGAGATGTGTGTCTGTGCTGGGTGGTGACGATCACATAGAATTTGAACGAAAGTTAGATTTGGCTTGATTGTACCATATGACTTTTTTTCAGTATCACTGAAATCCATCTATTTCTGTGGATGTGAATCAAGAGGAATGCAATAGGAATTCAAGACTGTGTATCTTAGATATCTGTCCCTTTCACCTTCTTTAATAGTAGTGTGTATTTACGCTTCCTGTTTAAAAAAAAAAAAAAAAAGCTATTTTAAAGGCACCCGTGTCCCTGTTTCATACCCATGTCCCTGTTCCTAAGAAAGAAAGGAACTAGTTCTTGTCTGCTCCAGTCTTGATTTAGGCTGAAGATGATGCTTGTAGAGTGACTGTCTAGAAAAGCAAGTTCGAGGCCTCCTCACTCTCTCGTTGCGCAGGTTTCTCAGCTGCGCCATGAGCTCTCCATGAAGGATGAGTTGCTCCAGTTTTACACCAGTGCTGCTGAGGAAAGCGAGCCCGAGTCCATCTGTTCCACACCGTAAGTTGCTGATCTGCGGCGCCGCGGCTTTGGTACGAGGCAGGGGCACTTCGGGCGGAGGTAACGAGGTGGTTGCTCTGTGCAGTGGAGCTCTGCAGGGGACTCTGCACCCAGGTGGTGCCTGGCATCAGCTGGAAGGGCTTGCCCTGGACCAGCTGGCTGTGCAGGTGCCRGCAGGAGGCAGGAGGAGAAAGTGCATCAGGAGCTGCTGACACGCACTGGAACCTCCCCGGGAGCTGGCCCGGCGTGTCAGTAACGCAAGCATGTGTCACAGTTTCCACAGCGCCCTGCGCCACGTAGCTGCGCGCGAGCTCCGTGAGTGGCCTTGGGGCTCCCGGAGCCTGAGGCGCTGCGGGGAACACGGGCGGTGCTGCCGCCCCGAGACCACTGCCCTGTCCCCACTGCCCACAAATTCCTGCACTGCCCTGTCTCCCCTGCCCGCAAATTCCTGCAGCGTCCTCAGGAAGCGGGGCAGCGTGCATCAGAAAGCTGCTCTCGTAAGGCTGTGTCTTTCCTCATTGCCTTGGCTGAATAGTACTCCCAAAAGAAGGGTGAGGAACTATTTAAAAAGAGAGAGGAAAAAAAAAAGTTGCATTCTCTTTTAAAATTAATTGAAACTATTTTGTTGCCTGTACATACTRTCATAAACAAAGGCATAATTCATGCGGTTACCTGCTTTAGAAACCTCTCCATTCAATCCCTTCTTTTGTGAGGCTAGCCACGGTGCAAGTAAAAATGARTTAAACCTCTTGTTGTTGTTACCAGGCTGAAGAGGAATGAATCTTCTTCCTCCGTCCAGAACTACTTTCACTTGGATTCTCTTCAAAAGAAACTCAAGGACCTGGAAGAAGAGAATGTTGTGCTTAGATCAGAGGTAAAATTACTTCCTTTATGTTTCGCTTAACACAACTGCCCATTTAATTGTCACAACACAGGTATTTATTAATAAAGTTCTAAGAGAGTCTAAATAGGAGCACATAATTCCACGTGTGACATTGATATCTTCATAGTTATTCATCACCATCCTTTATGCTCCTAAATGAAGGAAGGCTGAAACGTGGAAGCTGCATTGGTAGCCGTTTCTTTGCCAACAGAAAGTGCAAGGGTGCAGCCTGGGGAAGCACTGCAGTGTGAGCAGCTTGTAGAGTGCAGCATTGCACTTTGAAACCTCGTAGAAGTCCAACCTCATAGACTAGTTGATGCTCCAGAGTCTGCAAACTGGCATCTTCTCTCTAGTGCATGTTCAGCACTTGTCACAATACAAATTGATAGGCTAAATATGCATTAAATATCTTCAATTTATGAATTTCAGGTCAGGCTGTTAAGAATACTGTACTTTTTTTCTCTTATCTGTAACAATTTTTTTTTTCTATTTCTCAGACTGCACTGAGTTTGAGGGAGTATGTTTTCTTTTCTTGTCTCTGTTTTTCTCTCCCCTGCCCTCTTCCTTGCCTAGTAGAAATAACACTTTGCAATTGAAAATTCCATCCATAATTTTATGTGAATTTTTAATACAACTTTTAACTTTGGGGACATGTTACAAGGTTGTGAACATGTGGTGGAATATAGTGGAATAATTTTTTTTTTTAAGTGGAGAGTAAATGTACAAAACCAGAGTATCAGTACTGTTTTCTACTGCAAATGCAGGACCCARTGCAATTAGGTAGTGTCACAGCTCTGGACAAGACACCGTGTAAAGGAGAACGCAGTACACGCCACTGGGAAGTCATGCAAGGAGGATGGTTTGGGAATAATGAAGGTAGGGTTAGAATGGACAGGGACASTGATTCAGGAGCTACCAGAAGAGGCCTGTACAGCACTATCTGCCTTTCCAGGGAGGAGATGCAGAGCCAGGTTTGCAAGCTGCACATGCAGACTGCGTGTCCCTGTACATGCCCAGAACTGGGAATACATGAGCCTGACTGAGGGGGTGCTGGACAGACCCAGCCTCGTGCAGCCAGGCTCCTCTTGCTGCTCCTAGAGGCACTAGCACTAAAGGAAAAGCCCTAAAAGAAAAAGCCCTAAGGATTTATGTGGGATATAGTTACAGCTCCAGACTTTTTTCAAGTATACACTCTCTCTCGTTCTCTATATCTCTGTTTGTCTCTGTCTCTGTCTCTCTTTTTCTCTGTCTCTTTTTTTCCTCAAATTCAAGTATTTAAATCAAACACTAATCAGTTTGTGATTATATCTATGTTCAAGTGACCCGAATCAAGCTCCTTTTGTGCTAGGGCATGCTCCTCTTCCAAGTGTGCAGGTGGCACCTAGTGGGGACATGGTGACAGTGGTGCCAGTTTCTCTACCCAGTTGCGTGACTGCCAAGCATTCACCTGGCCCCATTTTTTSAGAGCATGAGGGCAAAACCAAAAGCTGTTTCTCACTGTCTTTCTGGAGGAGTGATTGGAAAGGCCTGTCTTTCTGAAGCAGATGGAATTGCAGCAGCAGGCTGGCAAGGACAAGTGTGCTAACGTAGCATATTTGATGTGGATTTCTTGAACAGGCCTGTCAGCTGAAGACTGAAACAATAACTTATGAAGAAAAGGAACAACAGCTTGTGAATGACTGTGTAAAAGAGCTGAGTATGTCCATATATTTTTTTTCCTTCTTATTGTTTCTTTCAAAAATTACTTATGTGGTTTGGGAAGGCATTCTGCTGAATCAAGTGATACTCTGAAAGAAAGATTTTTTGTTCCCTTATGCTTTTTGTTTGTTTGTTTTTGTATTTTTCCTGCTTTTTGATGTTACTATGTTAATTGTAATCACTTATCTTTAAAGGGGATGCAAACATCCAGATTGCCAACATCTCAGAAGAGTTGGCAAAGAAAACTGAAGATGCCGCCCGGCAGCAGGAAGAAATCACCCATCTCCTCTCTCAGATAGTGGATCTGCAGAAAAAGGCAAAAGCTGTAAGGCATCCAATTACAAAACTATTGCTGTGATGCACCACAGTTGTAGCTRGAAGAAAAGTTAAATTTCTTTGAATATCACAACTTCAGAGAATTTTTCCACCCCCCTCATCTGGACATCCTGTTTGTTTAGTATCTAACATACTTGATTAGAGCATAGGAATTTTTTGAAATGTATGAATATGATATACAGTTGCTAAATACATAAAGTAGTAAGTGCAAAATTCTGTAATAACCTCCTAAAGAACTGAGTAAAGTAATGTRTTTATTTCAATTTGGATCGAAGATTTGGATGTTTATTCAGAAGGACAGGGATTGATTCTGGGTCACTTGTATTAACATTTTAAAATGTAGTTTAGTTGTTTCTTAATTAAGAATTTGTAGTTTAATTAATTTGTCATTTAATTGTTTCTTAATTTCTTAATTGTTTCTTTAATTGTTTAAAATGTAGTTTAATTGTTTCTTAAACTGACATGTTTKTGGGCTAATATTGCTGCAGAGACAACGTGAGAATAGTAAGAATTTTCCTACTTGTTGTATAGGATGCAAACTTTATCACAGAACAGCATTTATACCTTTTTTTTCTGTCTTATTTTAGTGTGCAGTTGAAAATGAAGAACTTGTTCAGCATTTGGGAGCAGCTAAAGATGCCCAGCGACAGCTCACAGCAGAAGTGAGTACACTGCTTAGTATGAGAGTAATTTAGTGGTAGGACAGTAGGTGTTAGCTTTTCAACCTGAGACTTTTAATGTAAACTGAGTCAGAAGCATTAACTGATGTTACCCTTGCATAATGAATGAAGGAATATATATGTATAATGAATGTTTGTGTTTGTAGAGTTGAAAGTGTCTCCCTTCCTATTTTTTCCTCCTTCAACATGCATATGYTTTGGAAAGCTGATGTTTGTGAGCTGTGTAGGAATCCCTCTGGAGGCTGACTTCTCTAGCTTAGGCTTATTTTGAAAAATGAGATAATCTAGAAAAGCTCATTCATACTGTATCTGCTCAATGAGTAAAAAAGGACAGTTTGGAACTTGTATTTCTTCTGGGCACTACATAATATGCAAAATAGAAAAAGCAGAATGAATAAAGCCTGATCTTCTGTGAGCATCTCTCAGAGTTGGTCTAGTTGATGTCTGAGGTGGGAATGCTAGCTGTAGGTGTTGCTGCAAAAAAAGCCACTTACGTCATCTCCTCCTGTGCTTACAGGGGTGTATTTAAGTAGTTAAGACTTCTGCCTCTGCTGAAGTCAGTTGAAATAGCTGGTGAACTGTAAGGGTACAATGTCCAAGAGACATCTGAAAGCAGAGGAGGTGTTGGAGGTTGTATATAGAAGCCTTGATTTTAAAAATGTTGWAAGTCCTTTGGGACACTGTAAAATGGCATGTTCTTTTCTCATGACGTTTGCCACTGTAGTGGTCATGACAGTGGTCAGGATAATAATAACCACTGTATTTGATCAGACCGAGTTGATTTTTAGCCTCAAATCTTTTCCTTGGCAATGGCTTTATGTAGATACTTAGAAATGGAGCAAGTTTTTTTTTCCACTTCTTTTCCCCTCCCAACTTCTGGTATCAGCACAGTAAGATTTATATATTTTATTCCTATTATTTATGTTGGTCATGATTTTCAGTGGTATATAAATTGTCTCTTTTCAGTAGGGTGTTCTTTCCAATCCCATTACCACTTCTTAGTGTTAAAAAATATGTGGACTTTTTGTGACAGCAGTGCAGCCAGTAAGGTCTTACTGTCTTTTTGATGTGTTGTAGTTGCGGGAGCTGGAAGACAAGTATGCAGAGTGCATGGAAATGCTTCATGAGGCGCAAGAAGAGCTGAAAAACCTTAGGAACAAGACTATGCCAAATGCCATATCACGTCGGTACCACTCTCTCGGTCTCTTCCCTATGGTAAGCAGGTTTTTAAAAAGAAGGCAAAAGAAACATGCCTAGGCTAGGCATGAGTCTGGGTGTTTTGTTTCTTTTGATAGCAATGAAATACGTATGCATAAAGTATTGTGGGATAGCAGAGCAGCCCGTTCTGCATACCTGGTCCTGAAGCAGTGGTGCTGTGCAATGGGCTGTTTCTACTGCAGGGTTATATAAGATCTAAAGTGCTATACTTATCCTGAGAATTAGGGGTAGCGTTAGTGGGTTGCTATACAGTTCCATACATCTTTGTTATGAATCTTCTATACTGTATGGGTTATTTTGTTTTCTTTGCTCTGTGGGGAGAATGTTGTGAAAGGGAAGAATGTTTTTTGTATGTATTAAACAAACAGACAGACAAAAAGCAAAAGCTTTTAAGTGAGGGAGGGTGCTACCGAATTGCGAATACAGATGGGAAGACCAGGGATCTGTTGTTGTCTGTGACACTCTGCGGTATTCTTGTCACATGCTATCTATGTTACGCCTCCTGAGATGGTAAGCACTGTAGCAGTACAAAGTTAACAGTTATAACTTGTCAGTCATCCAGATAAAATCATTAGTCTTTCAGCTTTCCAATTTTCATTTTTACACCTCTATTTTTTTTTTTTCTTTTTGTCTAGAATAACAGTTTGGGAATGCCTATTAATATTGGGAATACTCTGATGTGTGTTTTTCTTTTGTTCTTGATTTTAACAGGATTCTCTGGCAGCAGAAATAGAAGGGTCAATGAGGAAAGAACTGCATTTAGATGAACCTGACTCTCCAGACCTGGCGTATGACTGAAAAGCATTGGTTCCTATGTTCTTTAAGAAACAGATTGGTTATGTCTGAAGTTAGTTACTGTTTGATAGGAAAGAAAAASAACCACCAAATAGTTGCACTATTTTACAGGGACATGTGTTTAGGAGCATGTGAATGACAGAGAGGCGTAATAAATTACCTGGTCTTTGGGTTGTTTATATTTTCAGGTTAAGCTGGCAATAGAAACCACCCAAACACAGGCTTTACCTTGTCTTTGCAACTTCACCTGCATTCTTGGGTGCAAATGTGGGACTGAGAAGGAAAAAGCATTGGTTTTCCTATGTTTTATCATGCAAGATTTGTTCAGTTTATGATTAGGGAGGCAGGTTCTGTTCCTCGGACTCTCTTTTAGGGTATTATAGTAGAAATCACTAGTTAATCATTGGTATAATCCATGTTCTGAGAAGACTGTCAACGAAAATGGATTCAGGGCAGTTCTGTAACAGGCATCAAACTACATACTCAGGTATTTAGTAGCAGTAGGCAGCCCTTCTGTTACAGTTCTCCTGAGTKAAATAAGACAGTGCTTTGAAACAAATGCTTCCGAAGCTCCAAAAGCTAAAGGAACCTGCAGTGTGGCAGAAATGACCTTACTGACCTAAGTTGCAGAAGGTCTGTCTCTCCTATTTGTACAAAACGTGGGCTTTAACAAGGTAAGATGAAATCAGAAAGATGCAAAATCAGGAGGATAAGAGCATGCTCAAACCCTATAGGATCCCTTTGCCTCTCTAGAATTGTCTAACATAAGACTAGTTTGATGATTTTAAAATTTTTCCATTAGTATAGATGTACGGAGGATTGGGCACCTTTTTCTTTTCGTACTTTCTCTGGATTTTATTCATCTGGCTGGTGGTAGTGACTGTAAGGTCTGCATGCCTGCTTGTAGGTAGATGTCCTTACATTCAGCCTTCTACACACAAGCTACTRTAGATTTGGAGGCTGCAAATGCACAGCCGCATTTGGACACACAGCAGGTGCAGCTAATGCAACTTTCTAAGGGACAGAAAGATAAAAATTTGAATGACATTGAATAGTGTTAAGGCATCCTGTCACTGAAACACTTTTGCAGTGTTGCCTTCCAGCTGGGATGAGTGTGCTGTTCTTGTATTCAGCCAGTGTTGAACAATAAAGCAAAGCAGCAGGGATGCTTTGGTAAGGTGATGTGGGGCAGGTTTCTTTTCTCAAGAAATCTGTGAAGTATTATCAGATCTTAATCCCAAAGCAGATGAACAAAGTTACTTGTGGAATTAGGGCAATGGTGACAAAGAGTGGACTTCTGAAGTAGGTCAAAATTTAGGTTTCCAGCCCTGACAGCCTCTTTAGGTTGTGGGTGCATATTACATGTGCTTTATTGTGTGTATTTTATTAGGTTTGTTTTTAATGCTGTTTAGGGGAGTAGGAAATTCTTGAATTGGAAAGAAGAGATACAAGTCTGGCTTGCATTAAGGACATTCAGCAGAATTAATCCAAATTTCTCTCTCAGAATGGATTAGCTTAGTTCAAAGTTACGAAATGATTTTTTTTTAATTCATTTCCACACAGCACTTTTATGAGGTTTTTAGCCGATCGACTGAAATGCCCTTTCACTTAATTTGGTTTAATATTTGAGGGGGTTGAGGCACATAGGTCTCATATATTCTGTCTAAAATATGTTTTAGAATGAAGAAAGTGCCATGTTGATGGATTGAATGTAGTGGCCAGACTGTGTGGCAAATAGTAGACTCTACATAAAATCCTTTGCCGATCTTTGTTAAGGACAAGATGGCGCAAGTAGAGGGAGGTGACAGAAATGGTCATTATTGAGCTGCCACCTGTTYGTTCTTGAGGACAGATGTTTCTCCATTGTGTGATTATTAACTGTATTTGTCTTACCAGTCATCAGAAGCGGGTCTTCGAGACAGTGAGAAATGTAAACCAAGTTGTCAAGCAGAGATCCATGACTCCGTCACCAATGAATATTCCAGGCTCTAACCAGTCGTCTGCTATGAACTCAGTTATTTCTAGCTGCATCAGCACTCCGCGCTCCAGCTTCTACGGGGGAGACATCTCCAACATTATGATAGACAACAAGACCAATAGCATCATCCTAGGGACAGATTCTGGTGAAAATGGGTTAGTACTTCAGGACTGKACCGTGTTTTTCTTTCCTTATATATGAGGCAAAGTGTTTGTATTTTCCTCTGTCTCATGTTGTGAAGGCCAGAACAGTGACCTGCATTTTCAAAAGTGACTTGGTTTTGAGTGTTTAATTCTTTAGCACTGAGGTTTTTTAAAAAAGGCTTTTATAAACTTCTGTATATCAATCTCTGCAAATCCATGTATTTTGAGATGCATCATCACCAGATGGTGTGAAACTACTYTCTGCTAATATCCCAAAACAAACAATGAATATCTGCCACTGTAGCATAGTTTTGTGACTCACTGATATATTCTTGCAACATTGGCTATGTAAGACTTGGCCTGCTCGCTTGAGTTTGTATTATAGGGATACCAGCAATAACTAGGAGCTTCTCATCTCTTTGTAGGAGGAAGCTCATAATTAAAGCACAGCTCTTCCAAACAGCAGTTATTAAGAGGAGCTAGGCTTCTGAAACAGTTCAGTAGGAAAAACAGAGAGTACAGCATTTAGCTTGGTGCTTCCCTGAAGACTACCTTATTGTCCCAGACACAGAAATTTAAAGGTTTTGAAGTATATTTCAAAACTGAAAGCTTTAAGCTTCTCAAAATGTTTTTCTTTTCCTTATGTCTGTTTGTTTTCCTCCCCTGCTATGGTCTAGAAATGAAGATAGAATGAAGAAGCCTGGGACCCCGGGGACACCAGGTTCCAGTGACCTAGAGACTGCCCTTCGTAGGCTGTCCCTCAGGCGGGAGAACTACCTTTCGGAGAGGAAGTTCTTTGAAGAAGAGCAGGAAAGGAAGCTGCGGGAACTGGCAGAAAAGGGCGAACTCCATAGTGGCTCCGTTACTCCTACAGAGAGCATCATGTCACTGGGAACTCACTCCAGATTTTCAGAATTCACTGGATATTCGGGAATGTCTATCAGCAGTCGATCCTACCTGCCAGAGAAGCTTCAGATTGTGAAGCCCCTAGAAGGTGATAACAAAGGGCCTCGGCCTTTATCTGTTCTTCTTAGTGACTCTTTGTGGTCTCTCATCCACCATCAGAAAGCAGGAAATCTTTGCAATACGTATTCTTTTTACTTTAGAGACAGTAATCCACGTTGTTGGTTTGAACTCTTCTAGCTACTGTATTTTTCCACAAGCCTTAAAGCTGATTAGGAAAGAAAATCATCTAACGACAGAACAAAATAAATGTTGCAGCTCATGCATGCATCAGTAGTGCAGCCTCATAGGTCACCTAAGTCTTCACCTTACTATTTCATATTTAAAGAAGAAAGGTGATGCGGTATCCAAACTCTAGGTAATAGAATATTAGCAGATGCTCAAAAAATACAGATTAGTTCATCAAATCTCAGTTCTGCAAAGAAGTGTCTGCAAAGACCTGTCCTTATCGCAGGTTCTGCAGATGATCTAATGGGACTGTTTCTGTGATTAGAGATGGCTTCTGGACTTCAACTGATTGGCTTGAGTTGATAGGCATGAGTCTCTGACTTCAGCTCATATGTGAAATACCATGTTATTTTAGCCAAATTTCATCTATATATTTTCTTAGAACAAATCAAAATACAACTAGGTCGTCAGGGCTGTATTTCAGGAGTAATTACATTTCTGCAGTCTGCCTGACAAAGCAGACAGAGCACATAAGAATAATTTATTCTGCCTGGCTTTCTTTAGTCTTTTGAGATTGTTACTCACCATTAAGACTGAGTAAATTCATTTAGGATTAAACAAAATTACTCTGTTTTGCCATAGTTCTTCCGAAGGTGATATCTATGTGATTTAGCTTTGGTCTCTTAGTGGATTTTTTTTTTTTTTTAACAACTGTTGTGTTAGATTATACTGTTCCTGCGTGTAATAACTTCAGCACTTCGTTTTATCATGGCACATTTTCAGAAACAAAACCCTTTTTGTGCTCTGACAAGTGTCATGTTGTGTCTACCTGTTCGAACGAAAATAGTGCCATGGTGCCCAAATCCCTTCTCTATTTGCTCGTAGTAATTTGTTTTCTTGATTGCTTTCGAACCACTATAAAAGTCTTGTATCACGTGAGAAAAGGGCTAATTCAACATCATTTCAGTTACTGATTGCCACCACTGTAATAGATTTCTGTCACTATCCCATTATATCTGTTTTTCTTCCAATAAACTATTTCAGTCTTCRCCTTTCTATCTGTCTGTTTTTTCCCCAGTTTTGTTCACTGTTCTTTTTTTCCCTTAAGCTATTGAGCCTTTCAAGTATTTCTCATGTTTGTTTTGCATCTAATTTGTGACTTGTTAGTATATGCTTGTTTCATAAGTTTGGTGTTTGTTATCTMTTGTTATCTATTCATTTGTTTACCTTATTTTTTTCTCTAGGAATTTTCTATTAAGTTTAAAATTTTCTTCAACTTTTTTTTTTTGTTTTTTTTTTTTCTACTGTGAATCTGCAGCTTCTTATATCATGGGCACAAAATAGAGCTCCCCATGTTCCGTATGAAAACTAAACATTGGACTAATAGCATTTTACCCATTTTGCAATTATGGCACCAACACGTGGCAAGTGTCCCATGACCACTGTGCCACAAATGTGACCTTCCAGGTATCAGGAAGAGAAGGATAAAGGTCATTTGCTTAACTCAGATGCTCATTTTGCTCTTAAATTTCATTTCACTTCAGCCTAGCAGTCCCACTTTTCCAGGCCAGTTCCCTCATGCCAACTGTTCTTGATAACATAGTTTACAAAATTATTGGTATTGATGTCTGCTGTTGAATATGGGGGAATACTGGATTCTTTCATACATATTGGGTTCTTCCTCCCTGTTCCCAATCACAAGAGCATTGACAGCTATTACATTGCTTTCTGTGCTTGTGTTAATTCTCTATATGGAGAAGTTAGTGCTTCCCTACAAAYATTTAATGAGATCAAGGTGAAGGTAACTGAGGTGCAGAGAAACTTGAACATCTTCCTTCTGTCCTGAAGCTGAGCCTGCTTTGATTTCCAGTTTCCAGAAGGTTCTGATAACAATTCTATTGACGTTAAATATTAAAGCTTAAAATGCAGTTATTGTGATGAATATATTTTCACAGGAAAGATTTYGAAAATTGTCATTTCGATGCTTGTACTCTGCAGTGCTCTTGTGTGGTGATTTATAAGGTAACTAAAGATTACATCTTCAGAAACTTTTGTATAAAATAATCAACAGTAGGATTTTATGTTTCTGTGCACTGCAACTTTTTACAATATTGTCATCCAGAGAAGCTCTACTCTGTGCTCAGGACTTAGCAATATTTGACACTTCTTCATATTCTGAAGCCTTTTTTTTAATGCAGAAGTACAAAAACCTGAGCYCTGGGACTGTTTAGAAATAAATATGAGCCAGAGGGTGGGTTTTGTTTTTGTTTGCTTTTTTCATTTTGTTTTCTTTTGTTAAGAGTTATTTTCTTGGAGTTGTAATGGCTTCTGCTCAATCCTCAGTGGTACCAATCAATCTGGATCCAACTTAGTTCCTCAAAATCCTATAAATGTAAACATAGATTTATACATAAATGTCCTTTTGCACATGCATTCATCCAAAGTAACTTGCATTGCAGATCCAGRGTATTCTGTATTTTTATTCCACGTTAGCTCATACTTGACCTGTCRAAAAACGTGAATAAGAATGTTATGCTTGCACTGTAGGACCTAGAATAAACAGTTTTAAGGCAAAAATTACCCACTTTAATCACACTGTTTGAGGAATTGGATAAATCTTGCCATGATTTTAGAGGGCCCAGCTCAGTGGTTGTATCAGTGTAACGTGCTGCATTGCTCTTTCTAACTCATTGTCTCATATTGAACACCAGAGTATTGAAATGTTCTCTTCAAAATGCACCTCTTTCCTCACTCAGAACATTTTTCTGCCAAGGATGAAGCTGCAGGTACAGTAGAGTATGGCTGTAGAGTAGCGACCTCCTGTAGGATAGGGGCTCAGATAGGAGCCATGCAGGTACTTAGACATGACACATAGATCAGAGCTGTTATCTGTCTGTTTATATGTGTCTGGAGTTGATGTGGCTTTTTAACATATGTTAACATGTGAAAGTTGCTGTATAATCTGTGTAGTTGTTGTTTTCTTGTCAGTCATGGTAGTAAATTCTACCATGCTTCTTCCTCCTTTCTTCAGTCATGCAGGATTACRTGCTATGTGTTCCTAGATCTGTCTGTGATGATGTTCAACCTAACTGTTGAATATAAATTCTGTCTAGTCCTGCTGAAGCCTATAAATTTAGGGGGATAAGAGTACTGAAGAGGAGGGGAGGTGCACGTGCACAAGGAGGTCACATCAGGCTGCCAGACTTAGCCTATCTTATGTGCTTATCTTAGCCTATCTCATAAGCTAAGCCTAGCTTATGTGACCAGTTCAGCCACCACTGGTCTGGAAAAGCTGAAGAATAACTGAAGCAGCTTTGCCTATAGCATGTCTTTCTAGAGATATTTCCACTAGTTCATAGAAGTTTAAAACCTTTAGTGGGACTGAGATTTGGATGTCTACATAAACAAACTTCTGCTCAAATACATCTTTCTGCCTTTTGGATGTGGGATTGCTGGCTGATTTATTTTGGTGTTCTCTCTGTTCCCCTTCAAGGTTCTGCCACTTTGCACCACTGGCAGCAGCTGGCTCAGCCTCACCTGGGTGGGATCCTGGACCCGAGGCCCGGCGTTGTCACTAAGGGCTTCAGGACCCTGGACCTCGACCTGGATGAAGTGTACTGCCTTAATGACTATGAGGAAGATGAGACAGGTGACATTTCTTACAAGGGCCTAACTACCTCGACGCCAGTTCAGCACACAGAGACCTCAGGTGAGAGGTCACAAGCACAAGTGACTGTTTCAGACAGCAAGAATAACCCCAGCCAATCTCAGGCTTTCACAGAGGAGATGCAGGAGGCCGCGACTGACGATGATGAGGGGTCTGGTGAGGGAAACTCGTTAAGTCCAGTAAAACTGACATCTTTAGAGGATTTTGATTACTGGGCCATTCTCACGTCTCTCCAGAACAGCATTCATAGTATTGCTTTGTGTGTAGCGTCCGCACGTTAATGCGTGCAATAGAACATAACCATGCTAACATTAACTCCAAAATCCTTTCTTTAATAATCCTTTAATTTGACTTTTTCTTTCCCTTTGGTAACAGCATTTGTGGTCAATAATTTACTCTATTTTGATAAGAGAAGGCTGCTAAAAGGAAGCGGTTCATTCACAAAGCCTTGTGTGGACATCTATGGCACTTGTATGAGTATTCAGTGCACACTCTTCAGTTTATAATGTATAGGCTATATATATATATAGCCTATACACACTATATATATATATAGTGTGTGTGTGTGCGCGCTTATAGTGCAGATATTTTCCTGACTGTTCATGAGGGATTGTGCCATGCTTTAGCTTCTGTGCTTTTGGAAAAGAACAGAGGCAAAGTAATGACAAAAGCTGCATCTAAGTTGTCTTTGTTGAAGTGCCTTAAAAATCAAGCAAAGCAATTCTGCAGGTTGAGTTCACTTGCCTCACATAGTTTACTTGTTTTTAAATTCTCTGTGAGAAAAAACTCAGTGGATATAAAAAGAATAAGGGATATCTTTATGTGGGGAATAATGGCATTTCCCTCATCTCCTATCAACTGCATTATTCTTAAATTCTGTCCTTTATATTTATACCATGTTAAGACTTACGTATTTTCAAATGGCTCACTACTGCATGGTGTGTTAAATGCTCTGAACTGATTTTTGCAGTCCTTGATGGGATGGGGCTGTTTAGATTTTTTTGCTTGTTTGTTTAATAACCTTTATAAGAGCACTAGTCTTTGGTAGGATGGTAAGATTTGCCATGGGAACAGAACTGTACTTAGTCTTAACCCTGCCTTTATTTTTTTTCTTTTTTTAAATAAGATTTATCTGTTTGGTCTTTAGAAAATCAGGTGATGTCTCAGGGCTAGGTGATAATATTCAGGGCTAACTGATAATATTTCTCTGTTCCTTTTGTGAAGTATAGAATATCCTCAGCTCTCACTAAAGAGTAGCAATACAATGTTCTACATCTTTGAAAATAAGCTACTGCTTGCAGTCAGTTATAGTAAGACTAAATTTCTTCCAAAACATTCAACTTCCTATTTTATTGCAGAAATTCACTTTAGCCTATGAAATCTATTGTCCAGAAATAACAATGATACTATTTTTTTAAGTTGCTGTAGAAATCAATAAGGCCTCAGCTAGAGTTCTGTGCAGGTTTGGATATTGTCCAGACATTTACCATTCCAGGAGTCCAAATAACAATAGCAAGAAAAGCTGAAGATCTAGAAAACATAGATTATGATCTATGTTAGATAGATCGTAAGATAGAGACTGAATATCTGTTTTTTTCCCTGCAAAAGAAAAGATTCAAGAGAAGATATTCATGTATTTTTAAAAGGTGTTTGCAGAGAGACAGAGAGCAAGCAATCCTCCTTATACTCAGGACAAAATAATTGTGCAAAAAAAAAGGCTATCTAGATTGCCTAGATTCCCTAGATCTTGGGGAAAGAATTTTCTAATTATAAAAACAGCAAGCACAAGAACATGTTAAAAGTTTTGCAGCTTTACTGTCATGGATGCACACACATATATGGGCATATGTATCTATGTGTGTATTTAAAAAAAAACAGATTAGAAAGATGATAATGGGTATTGATTTAGGAGAATTCTTGGTTTGATGCAGAAAAACAAATGTAGACAAATTTATGGTTACAAATTGGCAAGAAAGGTTTGTGTTCCTTTCTGTTTCTTCTTCCATTACAGTCTGGATACAGGTCACTGTAGAACAGGTTATTTCCTGCTCCTCCTCATACTGCAGGAGAACTTTAGTTGTCTCTGACATTGTTTCCAAAGTGTATTTTTACCTTAGAAAACAGCAAGTACATAAAAATCTATAAAACTCTTCTGCTGGTAATCTCCTTTCAGCTTGTATTGTTTGCTGAATGATTTTGGTACATTATAGAAATAGAGAAATTTGTCAAAATGACTAATTTATGTGTAGAAAGCACAAGTAACCTAGAATTTCCCARCCTTTACCCTTTCTCAAGATGGCCCAGCTGTGTAGGACTTAAGAGCATCCATGCGCTACCACAGTATTGCTGGGTGTTTTACTTGAGTAGACTGAGTGTTTACTTAACAGAATCACAGCATGGTTGAGGTTGGAAGGGACCTCTAGAGATCATCCAGTCCAAACCCCTGCTCCAGCAGGGACACCCAGAGCACAGGGCACAGGGCGGCATCYAGGTGGGTTTGGAAGACCTCCAGAGAAGGAGACTCCACAGCCTCCCTGGGCAGCCTGTGCCAGGGCTCTGCCACCGTCACACTAAAGAAGTTCCTCCTCTCAAAAGCCGAAGTGAAGCTGCTGCCCTATCTGCTTYCCCTTGAAGCAGCTTTCCAGGTGGTTCACAGGGAAGAGCCCCTGTGGGCGCTCTTGGTGTAGGCAGTTCAGCGTGGCCACGCTTCCTGCGGTGCGTCGTCTTCTCGCTGAAGAAGAGTTTATGAGATCAGGTGGGTGTTTGGTTGGCTCTGGACGTTCTCTGGTGTTGAAATGTGTGCAGCTGCTGCTGCTCCGGAAGGGCGCCTCGCCGTTCTTGGCCCTCCCTGGTGTCTCGCTAGGCCCTGTCGCGCAGRGAGGGCCGCGCTCCTCGCGGCTGCCGCTCCGCGTGCTCGTGAGCGCTGTCACAAGCACGAGACTGTGACCTCGCCCCTGCGTGGCCCTGCGGCAGCCCCCCAGCACCCTCAGAATCAGGTCTTGCTGGGGAGTGCGCAAGTGGAATAAAGCAGCAACAGAAAGAAAAACAGCTTGGGTGAAATATTCAGCAGGAGGGTTTTCCTTTGTAACAAACGATAGCTCTGGTGTGAAAACTGCAGTTGAAGAGATTCATACAGACCAGAAGGAACCTCCTTACTAYTGCTTTTGGCAGGCCACAGAGCCTGCCAGGCTCCGAGTGCTGCCCTTTTAGTTTTAGAACAAAATGTTACGGGAAATGGAGTGTCTTCCAGGATCRTTCCCAGCTGGTGTGCATCGTGTTAACCTCTCGGGTAGGTGTCTGCATCGTTTGCTCTGCATGCTTTGAAGGTTTTTCTCTTTCCCTTTTTGCAAAGCAGATGAGGTGCTATTCCCACTGCATGGGTGCCTGCAGGGGCTGCTCTTCTGTTTGAATCTGAGATGARCCCTAATAAACTTTTTAGTGTCTGGATCCAGGGGAGCAAAGGYTGCTGATAGTGCCCAAGATCTCTTGCAGCCAAATCATGTCCATTAAGAGCAGAGAGTGTCTGTTGTTTCTTGCTGAATGTTGGTCAGAAATCATTCTGTATCRTTCTGTTTTCTAGGTAAGAAAAAGTGATGGTCTATATTTGTTTTTCTCTCTTAAGARCAGTAATATGCCTGTCAAGTACCTTCCTTAATACATATTCAGGTAATATCCTGAGTATGACACTGAGCATGTTTGAAAGAAATGAATACAAGCTTAAGATATGGCTTGTAGTTGGTCTTTTGGAGCTTGGTAAACCAACAACTTGTTTATAGGCTCAGTAGCCTAATTGGGAATTGTAAATTTCATTTTATATCACTTGAATGAAGACTTACARCAAAATTGGAATGGTGAAGAAATTATAGAACGCAGTTGTATAAAGATCATCTAGGACAAGTACCTTTTACAGCACTTTTTTTAGTCACTTCAGTATGCTTTGATTCTTTAAAAGAAATTGTAGTATAGCATAAAAATGTACAGAGTCTGTTTTTTAACTCATTGTCTTTCAGGTGCACGTTTGCTTGTGCAAACAAACACAAATCTCAAAGCCATTTTGCAGATGAAAGGGCTCTGTCTAATTCAAGTTCAGGACATGCTCAGCTGGGTACAGGAACTCATCCTGCAGTACTTGTTGCTTTTTGGTTCCATTGATTTGATTGTTTTGCTTTCAATGGAAAATGTTTGTGTGGGTTTACAGGATCAGCTCTCCTTACTGCATTTATCAACCTTAACAGKGCCATGGAGATCTTTCCAGATAAATGCCTAGAATTATGAGAAGACATAATGAATGCCTTCAGTCCGAGTTGTTTTTTATCAGGATGCTTTTAAGAGATTATCATTGTATAGAAAAGTAATAAATTTTGTAAACTGTCTTAGAACTAAGGTATTGATGCATATATAAATATATCTTTTTTTACAGTTATGAGTATTTCATACATTATTGCTTTAAGAGAAAAGTGTCAGCATTTGAGCTCTGTGCTTGTTAAAATGTTAGACATTTGATGCAGGTACCTATTCTGCATAAAAACGTTAACTTTTCACATCTGTACTTGATGATTGTATGCATATGATGAGCATACTTCAGCCAAAAGAAAGAGAAACGTATCCTACCCAAAGAATACTTGCCTTTGTTCAGTTTTTAATGCCTTAGAGTTCTGAAAGGGAAAATAAATGGTAAGTCTGGAAATTTAGATGTTCAGAAAAGAATGTCATTGTCAGTTGCTTAAGGAACATACAAGTGATGTTCGTGACATGGAAATGCGGCTCCTTGGAGGTTCTGAGCATTCACATACCACTGTTACTGAAGGACATTTCTTTCAGGAGGCACCTACACCACTTCAGCATTGCACCATACTTATATTTTACAGCTATTGTATTGTGTTTATCTGTTTTGTTCTTGTAGTTAACCTCTATTTGCTTTTCTTCTCTGACATTRCTACTACTGTAAAAACATTTTGGAAGACATAAATACTGTCGTACCCCAGCACTGGCTGTTTGAATGCATAGTGTTGAGTCCTTCAACTGGTTTAAAACTTAGAGGTTTTTTTGACCGTGTCAGCTTTCAAATTGGCTGCACGTTGCCGCTTACGCATTTCGTACCCATGTGAAGTACCTTACTATAGACAGTCCTTGTTTTCAGTCCAGGWTGTATTTAAGCTCATCTGCAGTATGTATTGATGTTCTGCAAGCGTGTGTCTGCTCCAGAGATGTATCCCAGAGTCTTCCTGCTCTGTCAGCCAAGGGTTTCCAGTGCAGGTAGTGTTGGGCACCAACATCTCATCTTCTATGAGCAGGAGGGGTGACCTCTCCTGAAGCAGCCGTGTTGTCCTGCGCCGGCTGCTTTCTGGCATGTTTCTGCCACATGAAATTCCTTCAGGAATTTCTGCTTACCTGAGAATGCATTGGCTGGCATAGAGYGCAAGAAGTGAAATCTCTAGCCTGTATCCTGAATGATACCACTGGAATAAAAAATATCCCTTGTGTCCCTCTTTGCTCTAACTTTGAGTCTTTCTCTGCACAAGCTGATTGAAAACCCAGGTCCAGTGGTTTTTATGAGGATTCCCTGAGCAGAAGGATGTGTCCCAAACGCATCCATTAGGCTGCCAGCACTGAGCAGACTGGGCCCTTGTGAGCTCTGAGCCTTCAAGTAGGACCCGAGAAAAGCTCTGGGCTGTGTAAAATCAGCCTTGAGTAGCTGGGAGCTGTGCTTGGCCAGAAGATGGAGCTCTGCAGTCAGCTTCTTGATCAGTGCCTATTTTACAGTACTTTACAGCATGCTTTTACAAAAGTGTTTGTGCTTAGAAAACTCTATTTTGGCTAGGTCCCTGTTTCCAAARTGCCTGAAATGATTGAGAGAGTTTAAAAGAAATGAAGAAAGTTTAGTCTGATTTCTAATTTAGGGGAAAATCCACCTAGGGTTTACTTTGTGCTTTCCCAGAGCAAAAATGTCWTGTAATTTCTTTACTCTTTGTTAAGCATTGCATTATGTACAAATYGTTTTTCATGCAGATATGAAGCTTCGTTGTTAACCATCCACTTCTTTGAAAACGAGRGTATAATAAAAAGTATTTGTTTACACCCGTGGGCACATGGAACAGACATTTCTGCAGTTAAATCTGTGTAAAACAGATGGAAAAAGGGTTGTGCAGATAAAACATTTTACCCATTGATATTGCAGATCTTTAACTGGAAAGAGAAGTTTTGCACACTGAAAAGGATTTTCCCCTTAAACTTTGCACTGGTTTTCATCATGATTCAGCTTTATATTTAAAACAATGGTTTGCTGTACATATGAAGATAGTTTCTTTTGTTATAAAGTTACATTCTACTTCTTCCCTAGTTTATTCCATTTCAGGATTTAATCTTTCTTATGTAAAACTATTCTGCTAGGAATGAATCATTTTGTTTCCGTTTTATGAACTTTGTTCGTTTACAGCAACAGGTTCTCACTGTCTTTGTATTGCATCCAAAGGATGGAAAATGCAACAGCAATAAGATACACCCCATTGTTGACTGAAGGAGGATGAAGATGGTACAGGACTTTCTTAGTGGTATTTGAGGGTGGAATACGTCTTTGGAAATTGATTTTAATTTTTTTTTTGATCACTTAAATTTGCCTCTTCTTACTAGGATCAATGATTTCTCTACTTTTAGCAGCCTTCTCCTATCTCAGACTCATTAATGGCAATGAGTCTTGCCTTTGCTAATGCAGCTATGTATCTTCAATGTGCCTGTTTCCAATCTCAGGGAATGTCCAATGGATTTTGCAGGCTGGGCAAATGCAATTTCTTATTACAGCTGTGTGCTTCTTTGGGTTGAGCTTGCAATCCTAAGCTGGCATTGCTTTACTCTGTTCTCTATTCATCATCCAGGGAGAATTGCTTTGTTTCTGCTTAGTTATGTCTAAGTCCTCTTTTTTTTTTTTTTTTTCCTAAATAACCATTTTTTCATGTCCAGTTACCTGAGCTTTTTCTCCAGATTTTGTTTTAACTCTCTGCAATACGGAGAGCATCATGATTGCTAGGCTGTGCTCCCTTGTAATAGCTTTCATATTATTCATACTAATCTCTAAAGCAACTGGATTCCTGAAGCACCATAATTGCCGTCTCTGGAGGTGAAGTAGAGCTTATTGTTATGTTTTGCTGTGCTGACATTTGAGTGTATTACCATGACACTCCAGTGTGGGTGTATTTTTTTTTTCTGTTTTGTTTTTTTTTTATAATATCCTTCTTCAACGCATAGCGACACATCCCTCGTATTGACTGGATGGACAAGTCAGCTCAAGTCACACGTTTGCTCAGTCACTTCTTCTGCTTCCACTGTTCACACTGCCCATGCTCTACCCTTCACACACTGCTGATCTGCTGTGTTCTTAACGGACCATCCAACTGCACACACTATTTTTGTGCTGTGATACTTTTTTTTTTTTTTAATATATGAAAAAGGGAACACAGCCACAATTAAGACTTGCCTTGCTTCTGCTAAGCATCTCTGGAATCTCAGAATGGTGTCTGGTCCAGCTGGTCTGTCTGTCTGTCCTTTGCAGTGTGTTAATAGTTGTGTACTGTGGTATTCCAATGTGGCTTACTGAGGGAATGGCTCAGAGGGTTGGGCACAACTGAGGGGGAGGGAGTTGCACACAGTTTTTATTGTGCATGTCTTTTGATCACAGCTGATTTTGGTTATTGAGTAAGACAACCTATGCAATCATGATATTTTTGATACAATATTTAACTCTTGAGTGTTTTTCAATCAGCTTTTCAGATGCATGGCTATTAAATTTTCTAATTATTTTGCAGTGGCCACAGCTGCATTGTACAGCAAATTACAAAATTATCATAACAAAACCAATAATTGGTTCAAGTGCCTTGGTTTTTGCTTTGTTTTCAATTGAATTGTGTTGCTCGTTTCCCAGATTACTGATAGTTTGACATCTTTACCGCTGCATTTGTTGGAGCTGTTCACAAATATTCAAAAACTACTCACAGATACTCAAAAAATGTTACATAGTGCAGCTGAGGGCATATATTCTTAAACAACCTTAAAAACACATGCACAAAAGAATTGTTACAGATGTACAGTAGTGGATCCAAACAATTGCCAGTTCCTTACGGTGGCGGGGAAAAGCCAAACAGAGAAATAGCACTATGCCTATCCCTCACACCCAACTCTTCAATGTTCCTATGGCATTATATTCCTATAACTGGATCCATTACTGAAAAGTAATGAGGATACCTTTTAGTGGGTCAATCTAAAGCCTGAAATGCATGAGCATTCAGAAAAACCTTAGTGCTCCTTGGCTGCTCCTAGCAAACATTTGCTGTAGCTTCCCACTGAAGAAAGCTGCTGGTTTGGATGAGAACTAACATTTCGAGGTCTTGTCTAAAGCTGTTTCTGAGCAAGACTTGCTTGTGATTTAGTGGTCGGGAAGTTTCAGCACAGCTTTTCACCACTGGCCTTGGAGTCCTGGATATCCTTCTTAGGAGAACAAGTATCTCTTGGAACATTGTAATGCTCATGTATTTTGCTTTTCTTGCATTGATCCTGTGTGAGGTACCTCATTGCTTTTTACATCTGTTGTACCAGCACACAGGAGTTTGGTTTTTTCCTTTTCTGTACAAAATGCAAAGAATTTGCTTTTTTTTTTAATTTAGTACCTCATCCTGGGAAGTGCATGTCACAAACCAACTCCACCTTCACCTTCACCACCTGCCGCATTCTGCACCCTTCCGATGAGCTCACACGAGTCACTCCAAGGTAAGGGTTTCCCAACGTGGCCCTGGCTAAGGCAGCTACGTCAGAGTYCTCCCATGGAGGACGTGGAAAGCAGTGGTGTAAGGAAAAGCATTAGCCGTRTTGGTGGATTATAACAGACCCTGAATCCTTCTTCTCATTTCTAGTTCATCCAACTTGATTTTATTTGAGAGGCATATATGACGTTTTGCAGAGGCAAGCAAAATACCTTGGTTTTGTATTGTGTAATTTAAAAATTGCAGAAACAGATATAACTAAGTTGGCTTTCACTGTCCAGARCTGGCTGCTTTTGCACCAGGACAGATTATGGGCCCTGTATGAATGGTCTTCGCTGTTCAATGACCAAAATATTCATTCCCTGTCTCATCTAAACAGATGAGAGTGCCTTCCAGGAGCAAGAATTGAAATCTTTGGTACAGAAGAAAAAGGCAAAAGCAAGTGAAGAAGTGTAGCAACCTGCTCCATTGGGGTCCGGACAGTGCATGAGGAACAGAGGGAACAGGACTTAATCAGCAACACAGAACTGGCAGCTGTGTTCCTTGGTGCAGCTGCTGGAATGAATTAATAGCAGCTAGACTGAAGCTAGTGAACTGGTTTCYTAAGAGCTATTAGCATGTATTGGCAAACCCTTTTGGAAGGTGAACACCTAGAATTAGAAAGGGTGAAGGACTTTCATACCTGAAGAGTGAACTTTCCTTCCTTAGCAAATCTGAATCAGTTAAGTGTGTTTATTCTGATTGTAAAGACAATATCTTAGGGYTTTCTCTGTCCCCTTCAGCCTCTGTGTGGGAGTGTGCCATTGGGTAGGTACCTGCTCACAAATGATGCATCTAGACTTGCTTAGGCTACAGCTGGGCACTGGCTACCTAAGGGATGCATGAGAAATAAGGGTTTTAAATAAGGGCACCTGCAAGGGGATAAATCCATGGAAAGGAAATAGCTGACTATGAYGTGTAACTTCTSTTTCTRTTTCTGAATGAAGCTAGTTCATCRTGGCCCAGCTGGTTTTTCTCTTCTCTGTCTACTGTCTTCCTTTCCATTCAATGCTGTCGCTTCCCACTGCGTCRTTACTCCCAAATTACAGTTGCAGCCAAAAGAGATCTCTTTTCTTTTTAATGATGGATTGCTGTTAATCATGGTTATAATAAACTCAGTTATATTGGCTACTAAATGTAACAAACCATAACTGACAGCTACTTTCAGTAAAAAGACCCAAGTCAACAATGTGATGTTTTCAGCAGGCGTGGTAAGGAGAAGCTCCTTAAACTGTAAATGCTTCTTCACAGGTCATGTGAGGAGGACGAGGAAACTGCCTTATGTCCCGTTATGCTGAGAGGAGATGTAGGGCAGGCGCTGTGACCCAGCGTGGCAGGGGGTGAGCAGCGCCTGCCTCGGCAGGGTCACGCACAAGGAATGCCAGTGTGTGGCACCAGCTAACCCGGGGAGCCGGGGTGCCTCTCCACCTGACTGCACTTGGGCCTAACCGCTAATCCAGGCTGCGCTCTAACCTGGCTGAGTTTCRTCTGAGGTGCTCGCTTGTTTGTGTCCTTTCTGGATCTAACTCGGAGGCTCTCTCTGCATCTAACCGGGCTCACTTGCTGTTCTGGTGGTTGGGTCTCGGCTGCCCTGCAGGGTTGGTTGGTCTGATGGGGAAAACACTTCCCACTGAAGGCAGTGCCCGAGCAAGCAAGGGAAGTGGCTGCAGCATAACGGATGTGCCTGTGTGGACAAATTAGTAGAAATTCTAATCCAAGTGTTTGTGTGACTGAAACCCTGGAGCTCGAAGAAATGAAGCTCCTTGAATTATAAGYTCTTAGTTTCCAAAAGTTTTTGTCTTGTAACTAGGAAATTTTAAAGGCCCAGTAGCTAACGTTCATGTCTGAGTTTCCAAAAGTATGTGGTGCTGCACTATAGAAAGTCAGGGTATGTTTCCAGCGTGAGTTCCTTACTCTGTCTTTTCCCTCCCTCSTGCTTTTCAGTCCTTGCTCTGTGCTGCTCTGTTTAGCCGGATACCTCACGGTGTCCRGCATTGCTCTTGAGCGTTGCCACCACAAACGCTGTTAGGACGTTTTAGTGCCCGTCTGCCACATGCACTGACAGGCCAAACCCACAAGGTGGTGCAGGACGACAAGTTTCAGGCCGGCTTCGCAGGGCTGTTCCTCAAGCAGCGGCGCTCAGGAGCTCTTTSCAGCTCCGTTTTCACTACCGCTTATGGGTAGGAATATATGGGACTCCTCTTGAAAGCTGGATCCTCTTGTGGTGCAAATACCCATCAGCAGTAGCACTTCTGTGCTGTAGAGGTTGGTTCAGTRCCAAATCACTCTAGGGATCCTGTTGGCCAGCTCCTGTTTAGCCATGGGGAGAAGACATGATGAAGATGTCATAACATCAGGCCGATATTCCCTTTATTAAGGTGTGTCTTAAAGATACTAAAGTGCTATTGATTTTCAAGAGAACACTGGACCAGAGTTTGTAGACTTATTCAAGCTGCTGTCACCTGATTGCTGAACACTGGGAGACTGGTTTCTAAGATGGACAAGTACATGGGGCTCAGAACAAAAAATTCTGGGGTGTCTAAGTTTACATTCACAGTAGCATTGGCTTAACAGACTTYATTAACATAAGGGATGAAGTGAGACTGCAAATTCCAGTCAAGATGTAACCTAGGCCTTTTGCTCATATGGACAAAAAAAAGGATGAAATTCATTCATTGACCTGAGGGTTCTCTACACATAAAAATTCAACCAGATTACCCCATTGTGACTATTTCGTGCATTTCTTGATGCAGAGAACCAAATTGTTTGCTATGGTGGAAACCATCCAACAACTAGGCTCTGYTGAAAAGAAGAGATCCTAGTCTTTTTTTCCCCCCATCCCTGCACCTAGCTTCTTAGCTTTTCTACTCTCTTGCATCAGCTTTGGTGCTTGTGTTGATCTTTKTCTTCTGCTTGCTCACCTGGCAGGACAAAGGGGAAGGTTTCCTTTTTTCAGCAGTGCTGAGCTAAGTCTGTGAGCTCTGCATCAGTGTTGCACTGTTCATGACCCTTCAAATGCCTTTAGAGAGAAGAATCCATACCTTTATATACACACACACACACACACACACACACACACACACACACACACACATATATGTGACCAAAAAAAAAAAA